AATCTTTTGTGATGATTAGTTGATTGGATTTGACAAAACAGATATTGTTGCTGCTGTGTGTGTTGATCTATAACTTTAGAATCTACATAAGAGACCATTTCAATCATTTTTTTTATGAAATAAAGATAGTTTGTGTAGTTAAGATATAAAAAATGTAGCAAACAAACTCATTTTCATTTATGGGCAGTTGGCTTAAGTGAGGATACCATTGCCTACTAAATAATTGACTGTTGCAATGAAATCAATTTCCACCAAATATTGTAAACTTTGTGATGATTGTACATCTTGTTTTGTGATAAACAGAAAAAAATACTTTAGTTTATTTACTAATACTATATAGCGTAAAAGTAACTCAGTTACTATTTTTTTGTAAGTACATATTGCTACAATCCACTGAATAAAGATCAATTTATGTTATCAATAACAGAAACAACTGTAAAGTATTCACCCTAAAGGCGAACCATTGCAAGTGACAATATTATTAGTTACATATAACAAACAGACAGACAACCACTATCTATATTTATTTGCTCTTCCGATTACACACTCAACATCAATGTAAGCCTTAAATCCTTTGAATTGTGGTATTAATTTCCCTCCAACACTTCTTGTTTTTAAATAACTTCTATGAAAACGTATACAGACGATAGTGGACCTTAATTTCTAGAAGTAAAAACTGTTTTCGCTTCTCACTCGATAGAAGTTTACCATAACGAAAGATACAAAGAAAATTGAATCATATTGTGTAGATTGATGGTTGATTTTTGATTATCCGCAGTTGTGTAGGGTAGTTCGTACTATCATCGGCCACATGCACATCACGTGCGAGGCACGCGCCATCTCCGATAATCTTCTTTGCCGGACTCCTTTGTTACAATTTGTTGTGCCGATATATCCCCGACCCCTGTGAGATCCAAATCTCAGATATGATCCGTAATGATATTTTAAATCAGTGTTTTGAACGAGCTATTTATTGGGTTCGTTATAGCGTGGAAATGAATCGTTTTATGAATTTACCGTGACTTCACAACTTTGTTAACATTAGAAATATTTAAAACAGAATTCTGTTTGAATCTAGGCATAAAAATGATTATGCAAAAGAAAGAGGAAAAAGGGTCTTTGAGTTTGTGCGGAATAAATCATTTTTTGAAAAACAATGAGTTGGAGGTGACTTTAAGGAAAGTCATCCAGTTACTGGGTCCAAAGATATAATAGAACGAAAGGCTGATATACCTAATCTTTATATAATTTAGTATTTTTATAAAATCACTATTTGTGTCGTTAGCTTACAACTAAACCCAATGTTTGTGTTAGAAAAGGTTTCATCTTGATAGTATCACACTTCTACCGTTGCTTTCTCAAATACTATTCTATTACTACGTATTTGATTGTATTCAGACAGTTACAGATCTTCTCCAAATTGTACCCACACTTCATAATACTACAGAGCAATCTCAGAATCCCAGTTATATCCATATAGGTAAATCCAAAGTTCAGTGAAATTCCAACTCTAATGTTAAGTTCTTAAATAATATTAATAAATAGAAGAGATAAGTACGAGTACAATTGTACCATTAATTATATCATTGCTTTCAACAGCGGTAATATCTATGAAATGTGGCTCATTCATCCAAAAGTCGATACTAACAGCAAAAAATGACAATGCCCTCGTCACTGGTAAAAGTTAAAGTGACAAGAAAATATAGCGATACAATGAAATAAAGTTGTCATCCCCAGCAAAGGGCCGGGGAGCGTGCTAAATGCATTAATTTGGCCTGGATTTAGTGGCCCGGAAGTGATTTGCTACGGGAACGCATGTTCAAATGCGATATGACCCTGTGACGACAATTGACCCTCTCACCACATATTTTGTGTTATTAAATAAAAATGGACTTTAATTTCTCTAGAATAGAAATAGATTTCAAATATATTATTTTCAAGTTGCAGTTTTTGAATAGTTAATAAGGTTTGGTTACATTTTTGCCAGGGGTCGTTAGTGTGAGGACTTGGCGACAGTTACGAAGCTTTTGTTTGACTAAGCTCCTATAATGCGAGCATATTTTTTTACTCGATTGCAATGCCATTAAAAGAGGGTTATTATTTACGTAGTATGTGTTCCTACTTATCTCATAAAGCCGTGCAAAAAATATTAATTGTTCTTTGTATCTTAGGAAAATATAATTTTTGGCAATAGATGTTTCTTTCTATTTCCGATAGGACATTTAGAATTGAAGAGAGAAGATTTACTGTATTTCCAACTCCTCCAATTTTCTTCTGATTAAATTCGTTGCGCGTTCCAAGACAGTTTAATTTCTTTCTGCGACTTCCCGAGTGTCATAACTCGGTGTGTTCGTGGGTCACTGCTGTGGATCCTGGTGTAAAGGAGTTACAGTGGTGGGGGTTTGGGTGGGATTAGTCCCAATAAAAAACAGGACATTTAGAATTTTGCTAATTTTTCTTTAATAATAAAGGGGTCAAACTAGTAGTCGAGTCACCTGATAAAAAGCAACTCCTGAACGTGGACTTCTGCACCTGAAGAGTCAAAAGTGCGTTGCCGTGCAGTCCCTTCCATCAGAATCAGGGTTTGGACTCCGTTAACATCATTCAGTCGATGAAAAGCAATGAAAAAATTGATCAATAGCTATTTTCTCCGGTCCGGTCGAGGCGGGCCAGTTGGGCCGAAGCATGTTTCTCCCACGGCAGTTCCAAAATTGGTTTACGTTGTAAGAAAAGATAACGAGAACATGTTAAGAAGAAACTATTTAAATTCAGAATTGAGGCAGACAAAGTCGAATGGAACTTGATATTTTTGCAGTTGTATAGATTTTATTCAACGATACTTACTTACTTGGGATATAAACTCACTACACTAAACGATTTTAGGAAGCAAACGTTTTCAGCATGTAGAACATTAGCATTATTACAACAAAATGTACCATTAAATACATTTGACTGATGTTCATTACGTAATTTTATTCGAGAATCGATCGCTGCTTAAATATATACCACTGAAGCTTAAATATATACTAGAATATTAATAAATCGTTCGTCACGGTTAATAAAACATGACACATATCAACCCACCGTACACTTGATGTTAATATATTCAATGTTTAAGCACCTCTTATACATTCCACGTAAACTCAATACGTATAAGTCAGTACTCGATAAGAACAAACACATCCAAAGCCCTCACCAACTTCGCCGATATTATGCCTACCTACCTGTCTGTACGCACCCTTAAAGGGGCCCTCTGATAACTTAAAGACTTTATCCCGTGTACTGGAATTTTTACGGCAACAAAAGCCTTCATATTTTCTTTATTCATGTCGTGTCAAAATCGTTCGTCTTCCCCTTTTTAGGCGGCAGAAAAAAGAGATATACCGTTAACTCTTTCTATCTCATTAAAATCTTGTATTTCTATCTCACATTTTTTCCCTTCTGTTTCGGTTTTTATGTTTTTCTCGATATTCCTCGGCGAAAGTACTTAATGTGCTTTCATTTTTTCTTAAAACCGTCACCAACAGGATGATTGTGCGAATATCTTAATTAATTTATGTTAAGTATTCGAGAGGGTGACATTTAGTGATAAAGGATGTTTGCAGAATGTTCTGTTTCGGCTGTAAAGTTGTAGTGTAATTTTTGTGATTTTCGCTTTTTTATTACTGTATCTATCTTTTAAGCTCCGCTGAGTTTTATGGCATATTTATGTTCTTTGTAGCTTTTTTAAGACTGAAAGAGTTGAGTAAATAGACGGTTAACATTCATGGCTGTATTAAGAGTTTAATGTTCTCTTTGAGCAGTATTTGTTTCATTTCTTTTGTAGGTGTAATGTTCTTTAGTTCATATTCATTTTTTAACCAGATGTGACATAAAATATTCTCGTTATAAAATACATATAAACAACGAACATACAAAAAGCATATCAGTATGCTTGGGAAATTACATATACTTACATTTATATATTATATTATTATTATATTTAATGTATTTATATATTTCTATCAACTTAAAATATAACGTGTTTAGTACAAAACAATATCTATTATTAAAGAGACCCTTCTCAGCAATTTATACCAACTAAATAGATATTAATGACATATGGTTTGGTTCCTTATTCAACGTTAACCATTCAATTGTACGACAATATTAGGTATAAATTTAGGAACTTTCTAGTAATTATCTTAAAGGATCATTTGAGAATGTTTTTAAATATGACTTCGCTACTTAAAAAAACAACAGTTTTAGAGAGCAACCTATATAAAAGAAGACGTATCGACGCTTAAAGGATGTCTCAGTAGGGAGCGAGTCCGTATTCAAAAAAGGAAAAATGAAGAAAAAAGTTATAACGTCATATTGTTTTGCCGCCAAGTGGTGGGTACGAGAGGGGGGCGGTGCAAAGGGGAGCCCTGTATAGTGCCAGGGAAAGATAAGGCGTTATAGCATTCTGTACGTAGTATAGTTAAGGGTATGCTTCCCCCATTGTATTTTACGACGGGCCCTTTCGTATTTTTCATACTTTTCAAAGGCGTTTTGGTAAAGTGCAACTGTCTGATCTCGATATTTCTTATGATACGAATATCTACGTAGAATTATCAATAATTTTTGTATATCCCTATCTTTTCGCTCGCGTATTCAGAGACGTGAAGCGATAGCTTTAATTAATCTTATATGTCTTTGTAACTTATATTATATCTCTTTCTAACTGACCCGATCTTACCTTGGAAAAGGGGTGCCCTGACTTATGTATGCCTTTTTGTGGTAGGTCTATTTAATATATAGGTACTAGATCTAGGGAAAGTACCTAATATGTGCCTGTGTATCATTATTATTAAAGAATATATTGGTATAAATTCACTTTCTAAATGGAATCTAGCACGAATCTAGCATGTTGAATTTTACTATTACATCCTATTTAAAGCACTCAATGAAGAAAAAGGCCTTGTTAAAAGGGTATTTATGTCATTGAAATTAAAGTCTAATTTATGAAGTAATATGTACTACAGGTAATGAGTACTTACACTAGGAATATTATCCGATGTGCAGACTCCTTCGCTCAGGAGACGGTCTCTGATCTCCCACGCGAAGATTGAGGGGCACTCGCGCTTGTACTGTGCTATTTTGCTGACCACCTCCGCGGTGGCTACCCTCGGCTTCGAACCACCGATCGCTCGAGGCCTGATGGAACCGGTCTCGTAGTATCTGTGGTGGAAATATAGAAAATATATAATATTTTCTGTTCTGTCATAAAAGTTCATTTCGAGAGTATTTTTCTCGAAACCGATACTTCGAGATATTACGATAGTACAAAAAAAACAGGTATAAAAAGTTCAACTCTTGTGTATGCAACGTGGAAAATTAACTTGAACGAGCTCATGAAGAGTTCTTTAAGCTTCTACGGTAGAAGGTAAGCAGTTATTGGTGGTCTTATACACTAGCATCAATGCAACTACCCAATGGCATGGTATGGTTGTCAACCTCATTCTGTTAATTGAATTTTGGGAATTGGTAACAAAAATAGTAGTAGTACTGATTATTAACGTTCTGTAGGAGGATTTCAGAGTCAGGTGTATATCTAATTTAAGCAGAAATCTGCTGTGACCCTTGAAGCTAATGGTAACATGGGATTATTGCAGACACGGAATGGTGTGACTCTTAGAGAAACTAAACTCCTTTGTTTAAACTGGTTTAAGGAATTTGTACATCGAAATTAAACTTTTTGTTGTATGTGCGTTTATAAACTCCTTTCGGTCGAAAATAGTTGTTGATGATAAAAGAAGGCAGCATGCATGGTACAATGGTTGAAGTGAACATGTCTGCACGGATGGCGTAGTGGTTTAAGCGGTCAACTCGCCGCCTCTTAATGCGCTAAGCTTTGTGGGTTCGATCCCTACATGGGACCTCATTTTGTATGATCCACAAATTATTCTTAGTCTGGGTGTAATTTGTTTGTAAAGTGCCCCGTGACACAGGAATAAGAGGGAGTTGTTTTTTAACATGGGCATAAGTTAGTTCATCATGAAGATATTTTTAGTACTCTCGGAACATTTTATCAAGTGAACAAAGATAGGAGAGTTTTTAATATTAATATAAGTTGTCAGTGACTGGGCTATCGTTCCACTTGTAATAAAGGGTGGCCAACGTTGCTCTCAGTATCAAATTACCACCTCAAATGGTGTCAGGTTCGATGCCAGGCATATTCACTTTTTGTTTCCTTACCAACCAGCTGTCGTCGCATTTTTTATACTGCGGTAGTATTTACATTTTAATATTCTTTTCCATCAGCCTTTAAAAAGTTAAACATAATTAGTTTGTATTTCTGTAACTTTTTTCAGGTCAATGGTGTTTCAGGAAATAAAATAAGGGGGTGGAAAGAGACCATTTGAAATACTTTTGAAGAAATAATGAAGAAGAATTGTGCTGTAAGCAATACTTTCGAGGTGGATATGCTTTTAAGGAACTTTGAACTAAATAATACCTGTGTCCACTTAACACGACACATTGGACGAAAATTATGTGAATGGTAAATATTGGATGAAGACATGTGTGTGACGTACGAATTGCTGAAAGTTTTTTCCTAACTTGACGACTTAGATATACCGTATTCTGGTAAACGGATTCTGGGTTCTTCGAACAAAGCAACAAAGGATATTTGAAGAATCAGTAATGCGCTAACCAGCGACAAGCATATATGCTTGTTCGCTAGTTTAGGAGTATGTAAAAATAGGTACCTAAAACTATAAAGAATAGACAAAGAATTGAAAAACTCTAACTGAACAGTAACAATAAACAATAGAGTTACACTTTATCGAACTATGTATTCAATGTCTGCTGCCTATTACATTTTGACTGTTAAACTACTGAACCCATTATCAATTTGCATACAAGTTGTCAGAGGTACAGAAAAGGACATAGGGTTGACCATTATTCAGAAACAAAATATTAGTTAAGAGGGACTTTAAAAACTTTACTACGAAGCCGCGAGCAAACGCTAGTTAAAAATAATACCAGAAACAAATAATACAATGTTGATTAAAACTCAATTGACACCGTAACCGCAGAGTCAGCAACCAAAAAACTAGCCTGACATATAGATAAACTATACTTCTCACATTACACGCTTGTCAGTGTCAAGATGACAGCTTGTCGCCTTCGTGACTCTGTGGTTGGCCAGTGTTAGTTGGACTACAACCTTATAATCACCATGTATAAGAGACAGCCTTATAATCACTCTGTATATGGTAATTATATCGCAATTCATATACTCGTATATTAAGTTTTAGTTATAAAAGTGTCCCATAATTCAAAAGTTCAGGATTTATATCATACTAAGCTTATATTCTGTTTAAATCTCGAAATCTTACTTATACATGCCGCAGGTTCACCTCGTTAAGGGACATTACTTTGCTCCATAAGGTGGTAGCATGATTATAAATAACCTGTAACCTTCATTAAGAATTGTTTCATTATTTTTTTATATTTTTACAAATCCAGCAGTTACGGAGGTTGGTGCCTTAAACCAAATAGACAAACTCTTTGACCTTATTATTTAAGTTTTTGTATCAATAGTTTAGTATGCTAGCTTAGTATATTCTATACTAGCTTTTACTTGTGGCTGTACTCGCGTTTATTTTTTTTTATGTAAGAGGGGACAAACGAGCAGACGGGTCACCTAATGACAAGTGACTACCGCCGCCCATGAACGCCTGCAGCTCAGGAATCACAAGCGATTGTAGATAAATTAAATCAGATGACCTTTAGAATAAGTACTCCTTTCTAGATAAAACTTACTATATATCCTTTTCTGTGCCTTGACAACGTATTTACAAAATTTCTTGAAATTCTGTTCAGTGATTAAACCATCAAAGCGCATTAAACGAATAAAAACTAAATAACATTCGTATTACAACAATAGTTAGTACCAGGATTCCTTTATAAGTTGTTGGTCATTGCAGGTCAATTTAGCCCTGTCAATTGGTAGGGTAGCATTCCAATTATAGTTCCCTCTCCGGTCTTTTAATAAACTGGACCGCCAATATCGAGTGGACATTTCTTCAATAGTTTCTACAGTTCTTTCTAAACCGGTCGTCTGCGGTCACCTCGGAGCTATGAGCCTGCGGCCGCGACTAGTTACACGCCGTATACTTTACAGAATCGCTCACATTCCAACCGTTTGCTCGCCTCACCGCACGATCACGCGGTCACTACGCTCACCGCTTTTGTTTGAAACGGTGGGTAGTTTTGGTAATTTCAGTGTTAAGTTTAGATATAAACAGGTGATGGAATTTGATATCGTAATAGTTGTCTTATACATATTAAAGCTTGTAAGGATGAGGGCCACTCAATTACCACTATATAAAACTCTAGATATTTTGGAGCAAATATTGTCTACCACGTATAATAGGTATGATTTTTGTTTGATTACACGTTTACACAGGAAAAACGAGATATAAAAGCTAATATAATGCAGCGTGAATTTAAGCCTGGATTTTAAGTTCAAGAATTCTTCTCTACTTGTGGACTAAAGGTATGATATGGTTTGTAACTGCTGCTCACAAGCCAATGCCGTGAAAGTATTTTTTTTCAAGAAAACTTTATTGTGCATTATAAAATCGTATTTCAAGTGTAAAGCGTCTTTACAACACAGACGAATCTGTTTATCTATTTAGTCTGTGCAATTACCCCCACCACCCATAGATCTGACCATCTCCAACACTCACGGAGGTTCACAAAGTCCTGAGAGGGAGCAAAGCAATTTACCCTCCACTTATTCCAGTTGGAGGGGTGATGAATAAAAAGAACACCGTGACGAATAAATATTTGATCTGTACACAGTTTTTGGTCAACTATCGTACTGTGCTCATAGGTGCTTTCAACGAGTTCTTTTTCTTAGAGCTTTAATCCGACAATAAGTATAATTTTTGATGAACACTCATAGAACTCACAATATATTTGACCGCTTTATCTAACTTTGTAATAGAAAGGAAGCAAGTGCAAATACAAACCTGCCGAGTATCTTGGAGACGCATCCGTTGGAGACCTGCAGGATCCGGCTGATGTCGCAGGGCCGTGCCCCAGAGTGCGCCAGCTCCACGATCTTCTGCCGCGTGGAGTCCGGCAGCGGCCTGCCTCCTACAAACACCCCGCCGAGCTGGTTAACACCGCTGTGACCTGCCGCACCATAGCACTGCTTACTCCAATTAATCACGCGTTTATAAGAGCACGTGATGGTGGTGACTATGGCGTTTACCCCGTGGTAACGACAATGTACAATTTTGACATTTGAATGTGCGTTTAGTTATCGTTTTTAGCGATATATAGATGTCGGGCAATAGCTACGGTTGCATGTCTTCAATTTATGGTATAGCTCTCTATGTTCGCCCTACGACAGGCAGCTAACCTGTGACCTAGAAACTAACCTCAGAAGTAATGGAATCTTTCAAAAAACATTACACTTTAAGTTTTGATTTCGTTTCAAACTTTGTAAATCTTATTACCTACGGAAATAGAAATGTAGATATGATATATAATATCAGATTCCATTACTAATTAATAAAAGAAAAACGATTGGGCTTTTGATTTTTATTAGTAGAGCGATCATTTAGAGCCAATTTTGTTTGTGTATCATATTACAACTACCTACATGCAATTTAACTAAGGGAAGTCAGAAACCAAAGCATAATATGTAATTATTAATTATGATTTATTTTATTATTCAAAGTATATTTTTATAATGACTGCAAATAGTAAATTTTATAGGTAAGCGTGTGAGTAAAAAAATATCCGCACTCTTAATGTGAACAAAATATTATGGAATGATCAAGTACGAAACTTTCTTTTTACAGAAAATTCCTTCTAATAATATTTACACAGTTTATTGTGTGTGCTACAAGAAATAATGGAACTATGTACCTATAGCGTATTTCGGGTATTATGAATTTTATTGTATGTGTTGTATATCCCAGAACTGCAGTCAAGGTTTCATTAAATCTATAAATGAAAACTGTTGCTTTTTGTTATTGTGATTTTATAGATTTGGAATAATTTGTAAAAGAATTTCTTGAAGAGAGAGATGTATAAGAATTTAAAAATAAAAATGGTGTCTGATTAACAGAATCCCTAAACAAAGTGAGCATCAAAGTATTTCTTGTAATTTCTTTTATATTAGAAGTTTCGTTGGGATGTTAAAAAGGCTCTTTAGCACCTGCTTTACAAAAGTTATTTTTTTTGTTTATTATATATTTTTACTTCTACTGACAAAAAAATAGTAGGTAGGTTTTTTTTACATTACCTCCAAAATTTGTGGAGCGATAGAAAATTAATGAGTTACCCATTTTATACCTAAAGCAATCCTGTGATGATTATGCAACATTTGTAAGAGTGCTATGGTTTTTACTAGCATAAAAGCTATAGATTATTTGACATGATTAAAAAACTATAATCTGAATTTTTCACAAATAATTCTCAAGGCTTAACAACTCTTCAAATGATTCTCATGTCATCCAATCTTTGGTTTCTAACCAAAATCCATTGACTATACAGAGTGTTACAGGAAAGTGTGGACATATTTTAGACTCGTATGGTAGACCCCGTAAATTAAGTTAAGCGCTAACAATTTTAGAAATAAGTTAATATTAGAAGAAAAAGAAGAAAAACCCGACTGAGTGAATATGTATCGGTACTTAAAATTTACAAACAGGTTATTTTTATATTCAACGAAATCGATATGAATGTTTATAATAATGCAGTTCAGAAATATGCGTCTACAATAAGTAAATATTTTCAGAAGATTTTTATTTTTGTAAACCGTTTTATGTCAAGCTGAATCATATATTTATAATATTATTTATCAGCTAATACATAAAGCTCCTAAAATGTACCCACACTTTTCTGTACCAGACTGGATATACGAATAACCTAAGGCAGAATCTAAGTTACGTTTAATCTATAGTAGAAAAGCATGGCAATCACCATTACCTTTACCTTTGTGTGCCAAGTCGTCCATCCTGTCCAGGAGGTTGGCATCAGGCGGCCAGGGGCTGATGGGCGCTAGCTGCTGCGCTGGCAGCATCGTGTAAACCCCGTATTCTTCTATGTTGACGACCTGCTGACAAATATGATTTCGAAAATGTTCTATCGTGGATTTTTCTTGAAATCTTGGAAAATTTAGACAACTTTTTAGTAGGTAAAAAATTCAATTCCCGAGAGGCAGTACAAAATGCCTTTGACGAGTTTGTTGCCTCCCGTTGAGCTGATTTTTACAAGAACTGCATCAATAAACTGCCAATGCATTGGCAAAGATCGCATGGTGCAACGTCGATTGCATGGGTGATTACTTCGAATAACAGAAATAAAAAAGTTTGAAAAAATAAGTACTTTCACTTATTGCATACAAAACGGCAATTTCATAGGTCTTTACCTATGAAATTGCCAACCTAATATTATTATTATTTGATTACATTTTTAAATATAAAAAATTGTAGACCACCGACATCGGGTAAAGGAACCAAGACACCGGTAGGTAGGACTCCAAAGACAGGAACCTCCTCACTACACAAGCCGTGTCAACGAGAACTATTATTATTATAATAAATTTTAACTACACACAACTTACACATGGCCGTCTGATTCCAAACAAAGCAGAGCCTGTGCTATGGTAACCAGACAGCTGATAAACATACTCATATTTCTAAATACATACATAAGATAGACAAATTACACCCATAAACAGATAGAACAAATGATAGTGCTCATCATACAATTATTTGTTCTGGGATCGAATTGAACCTACGACCTCCGGTTTAGCAGTCAGGGTCATTAACCACTAGACCAACAGGCCTGCCAAATCATATGTACCCATATGTATAACATCTTTCATCTTGATTTTGTAAAGGGATGCAAGTATGTAACATGAAGGTGTATGACCGTACGCCAGTTGATTTGTTTAATAAGCTCGCGTGGTGCCAGAAGTATCACACACCATTTGTGCAGTACTGTAAAGTACATTTTTTTAATGAGAATTAATTATTAATGATTTAAGTCCCATATTTATTCTATAAAATAATAAGGTTAATTAACCTTTTATTCGGCAGTCAGAACCGAACAGCTTGCGTTGTAGTAGTTGAACCAATTCCCGGTTGTTGTAGCGAACTTTGGTTGCTATGGTTGAGGGAGCCCTATGTCCAGCAGTGGACGTCTTTTGGCTGATATCATGATGATAAGGTTACTTTTTATTTATTTAATTATTTTTGAAGAAGGCTTACAGACATTAATAAATTTATGGTTAATACAAATGTGTGTTCATGTTGCTAACAACAAGCCTCCAAGGGGGTATGTAATAATTGGTTTATTAATGTTGTTAGAAAATTTATGTAGCTGTGTTTTATAAGAGTTGCCTTGGTTTTCATCACAAAGATAAACAGCACAGATATGTATATTATCAGTTACCTGAGACCTTGACTTCTTTAGTATGAGTGTGACGCAGATATCCTCAGCGGAACTAGGCTAGTCTGGTCTCTCGAGAACTCACACAACTCACTTTTCATCGCAATTAATACACTACCGCTAAGCTGTTGTTTAGTACGAGAATAATCACGATTTCGCCTCCAGACGAGATATCAACTATCAAATAATTCAGTGCTATAAATGTGATCCACTAAACCAAGTTTCCATTGCCACAACTACTTACATCATAACTGTTGAGACATACACTGCGATAAAAGCTGGAGATCTTTGTACGCAATCCCCGCAAATTCTGGTTATACATACTAATAGTAGCCATTTATCGATCTAACAATATCATATTTATTTGAAAATAGAAAAACAATTAACCGAATTAATAAATTACACAGTAGGTTTCGCACGAAGTTATTATTTTTTAAGCAGGTAGAAGTCACATGTTTACAATAGACTGACAAGCACAGCAATGCACAGCGACGTACAAAAACTAAGTTTAAAAAATACAACTTACGAATAGACAGAATAGGCACCAATCGGTGTAGAGAAAATGATTGCCGGCATCTGTATGTCGTAGCGTACAAAATGCAACATGTTATAATGAACTCTAATGTATAAAATTTACCGATGTAATTAACTTTGCATAATATATTATGCAAATGAGTACAAAAATAGTATAACTTACGCAGATTCATGACACAGCGACACGGAATGCTTTGGAAAACGCAGTATACACGGTGCTGTCTACGGTTCTCAAACTTTCGTACGATTGCTAGTTCTTGGGTTCCAATATGTAAATAGTAAATTAAATTATATTGGATGGTTTTATAACATTGGTTCAAAGTAATTTTATCAAGTCTTCATCTGATTTCACAATTATTTGACCCATACAGAACGAAACTTTAATTCCATTGCCGCTTTTTTAGTTTTCGAAAGCAGGATTTTGTTTTTACTCTTAAGGTGATCGTTAGTATTAATCCTATGGTTTCCTGATAAGCCAATTTCATTGGCGGTGAGGGTTACGTTCTTAAGTTTGTATCTGGATGCAGGAATCAAATCTTCCTTAAGATATCGGTTACAAAATCTAACTATTATTGCTTTTGTATGTTCTTTATCACGCGTTGGCACTCTGTTTATAAAGTTGATATGAATTTTTGTGATAGAATAGTTTGTTTTTGCGCCAATTAGTATTAAAATATCGAAGAGATTCTCATTAGCCGCTTGTAATCCCCTTTAATCTCTATGTTATTCATGTGATTCCACTGATCCCTGCCGTTAGATTATTCCTCCAATTTGCGACGCAAGTCTGTAAGAGATCAACTTGGCACGGATTTTTTTTCACCTGCACGATGCGCTGCTCCATGGTTTTAATTTCCAAAACCATCATTTTTTTTGTTCATCAAATTCATCTCTCAGTGCTATGTTTTAGATTTATATTCATAGTTTTAAATTTGTGTTTATATTTAAATTTGGACGACTAAGCTCGGCTTTCTTGCAGAACAGACGTTTCAGCACTTGGAGTTGGTGATTTTAACGAGCTTGATGTTTGCTTGCACTTCATGCAACTCCATGTTAATTTCCTTTCACCCAATCTTTGATACCCAGCTGCAGTAATGCTTGCGCAGTGGAGATGTAGCATTTATTTACAGTCGGTGCAGAGCACGCCATCAGACAGCTGGTCACCACATGGACCGCACTTTTCTATATACATCTTGAAATATATATTATGATAAGGACTTTATGGCAAAAGTAACGGCAAAAAACCTTGAGACACAGTGATTTTGTTAATTCTCGGAAACACGCCCGACTTCAACAAGGCCACGAATGGTACTGACTGTACTTACTTATGCAGATCGTATATAATATATGTTAAACGACACTGAAGTTGCCAAATTCTTGAGTTTTTTCTTACTTAAACTGACTTTTAGTCTCAGATTTCCTTTACAGTTTCAAATAAGTCAGTAAAACTTAATAAGTTATTATAAATGGGATATTTATCATGATCGGATGAACTCAGTTCTACCGCGTATATGAGTGTCGAAATATCTATAAATATGGTTAATATTCCGTTTATAATTAACAACTCATTAAGTTAAAATGAAGGTAGGTAGTTTAAATCAATACGTAGGTAAGTCAGTTATGTATAATAATTAAACCTATAGAATAGTTATTAAATAGTATACAGGCTGCTAGGTAGGTAAATACTAATTTATAAAGATACTGGCTTTTACCCGCGGCCCCGCCTCCGTGTATGTTGGTTGTTGCGGTAATAAATAGCCTATATTATTCGCTGATAATGTATGTAGTTTGCATTTGGTGAAAGAATTTTCAAAATCGGTTGAGTGGTTTAGGCGTGAAAGCGTAACAAACAAACAAACTTACTTTCACTTTTATAATATAAGTATGGAAGTATGGATACTCAATATAAGTATGGATATTGGTCTCACACATCTTGTCACGAAGGCCCAATAACTTATGCAATCAATGACATTGTGCATCTGAATCATTTGATTTAGTATCATTTTCGTTGTAGTTCTTTTAAATGTAAAAATTGGATAAATAACATATAACAATACATTTTAAACAAATAGTGTGAATTCGACTATGGATGACTATGGACTATGCGGATGTAACTAGAGAATCCGCCAATATAAAAAAGAAGTCAGTCTTGTTTGTAGGCGTAACAAATAAAGCCTGCTGTGTGTATTCATTGGATGGTATGAATTCCTTTGGTAGTTTCTTTTAGACTTCAAAAACTTAACAGTAAACCCATTAAGTTTAACTTCTTTATATTAACTTTACTGTCCAACAAACAACGCATGGAGGAAAATATTAAATATAAGGTTCTAAATCATCATCATCAGTTACTAAATGTAAATATAAAAAGTGCAAAGTGGATACACGCGGATGCGAATACGGATAAGGGCCGAGTCACACATACAATTATCATCGTGAAAATTATTCTTTCATACATTCTTTATGAATACATCAACATCTGTCAGTGTCAATGACGATATAGTGCTTTCTGTGACAGTGCTGGTGCCGGCTACCACGGACTTAATAGGCGACGACTATATTTTTTGTGGGATCACGAACGATCACTAAATCATAACAGCAATCAAAATAACTGCACGGATGGCGCAGTGGTTTAAGCGGTCGCCACGCCGCTTCCTACTGCGCCGAGTGTTGTGGGTTCAAACCCCACATTGGACGACACTTTGTGTGATCCACAAATTGTTGTTCTGAGTCTGGGTGTTATTTGTGTCCGTTTCATGTACGAGTATGTTTGTAAAGTCCCCCGCGACACAGGATATATTCCTAATGCGGGAGTTGTCTTTTAAAAGAAGAAGAAGAAACCTCGCATTCGTTCTGCTTGAAGTTTTGTAAAAAACCTAACATTAACATGTGTGAATTAAAGCATTGTGCACTGCAGCATATGGGCCAATGCCTTGTTGACACTTAAGAGGAAAGTTGCAGTTTCCTCTTAAGTGTGAATCGGCCCTTATTGTTCTAGTACACAGTACGTACGAATACGGATACAGATCTCAAGCTTTTTCTTCATCATCATCATCAACAGCCTTAAATAGTCCACTGCTTTACATAGGGCTCTCCTTAGAAAGGAGGTTTTGGCTTACTATACCACGCTGGCCAGCCGGGTTGGTATAGAGTTTGTGTCAAGTTCTCTTTGCAGTGCTGTTTTCCTGCGTAGTTTGCTCCTTTAGTCGGCTCTTACGATACGGGGTGGTGACACTCCGTATTCTTAATCCGTCACCACACGGCTTTTTCTTAGTAAATGATAATAATCGTGACCCTGTAACGATAACTGACGTTGGCAATTAAACAACGACTCATATTTTGCCCAGAATGTAAGTACTTATAATTGTTAATAATTTTAGTAACTCACTATGATATATTTAACTTATTTTGAATTATTATGTATGTATATTTTCCTGCGGTCTCTGCTTTGTTTGGGACTAGATGGCGTTGTATGAATGTGGAAAAAAAACTAGCTAACGCTAAAGATTTAAAATTCTTCGTTTTTGCAATATTTTTCATTCATGCTCGGCTCCTATTGATCGCAGGTGTTCTATAGTCTATTGCTTTCCTCAATCAATGGGTTATCCAACACTACAAGAATTTTCCAATTCCAACCAGTAGTTCCTGAGATTAGCGCGTTTAACCAAACAACAAAGAAACTGCGAATGTCGGATAATATCCGTATCTGTATCCATATTCGTGTCATTACAGTAGTACTCATTACAGTGTGGTTAATTATCTTTTTATTACATATGTATGCAAACTACCGGCATCCATTATAGACAGTAGTAACTTAAGGGATACAGGGAACGCCCCTGAGGAGAGGTTAGGGCTCCGGTAACCACACTCACTAGTTAAAAAGCAAAACGAAATGAACGTATTGATTATGATACGAAAGAATTGATTAAGAACGATGATGATGAAGTTCGCATGATGATTACAACAAGATCAAATCAATAAATGCTATCAAACCAGAGATTAAGGAAGTATAGAAACGTTTATCGCTGTATTTACACCCATACGTACGCAGCACATGCACACATACACGTGCGTATACACAATAACACTACATTACATTATTTTCAACCAAGCTATGAAATAGTGGATTCCATGTTTTTCATTAAATGATGTTAAATAAGGTTCATTCGTGAGATATTTATGAGTTATTTGTTCTGGTTAACCATTTATAATATTAGGTCATAAGCAAATTAAAGCAGTGTGGAATATTTTAAAGCAGTATGAGTTTATCAAGTAACCAAGGTCCAATTCCGCTATTTTATAAAACCGTACAAGCCACTGTCAATTCCATTGACACGCTATTGAGATGCCATTGACATTGGTCAAAATATCGGTATTCTATTAACATAAATTAACAGTGTCAATAGACTGTCGATATAGTGACAACGGCTCATCAATGGTGATATTAACCACGTTACCATATCTGAAAAGTTCAATATATCATTTCCTTACAAATTTAAAATGTACCGTATACCAAACTATTATAAAGACTAGTTTATTACAAAGCCATTAGGAGACAATTGGTTTTACTAGAATACGAAAAGTGCAAAGTGTCGTCGAAATGACGGCATTCCATAGACAGTCCATTGATACAATAATAGCAGAATTGAGGCCCAAATATCTTAACACTGCACCATCGGAACAATGTTAATATAAATTTTACGATTAAAAACGATTAAATGTCTAATTAGCAAGCATTCAACCAAAAACCCATAACGTTTTATAAGAAATCTCTTTTAATATGATTAATAATTTACAAAGATTGTAGTACTATTGCAATGACCGTATTTTCCGTTTATTTACTATTGAAAATATTAGTAGGTGTGTATATCTGTGCTGGATTGGAAGACCTTGATGCGGAAGAAGTGGAGTTGATTGAACTGATACCAGAGATTTATAATGTGTATTTGGAGGCAGTCAAACAAGGTAGGCCATTCGACATTTAAAAGCAAATAATTAAACTGATTTGTATTGTAACAAGCTACTGTTTATGTTAGAATTATTGCCATGTTGAGTGGTATTGCTGCCAGCCTCCTGGGGCCGACGACAATTCTAAGGATCTTTATGACGATTGCATATTCATAGTCTATGGGTTAGAAGATTAAGTATATTACGTATTTAAGTAATAAACAAATGCAACATAGTATATAACTATATAAAAATTAATAGATTTCACAAGCGTAAAAAAATCACCGCTCCTTGCATCATTGCCTACTGGTAGCGCATATATAAATTATACATTAGGTACTTATCTATACAAATAAATAAAATTGAAGTGTCTGTTTGTAATGTCAAAATAATAGGTTTTTTTTCATGCTTACACGGTTATTTGCACGATACCTATGCCTAAAAACCTGTTTAATTATTTTTTTGTCTGTCTGTCTGTTCATTTGTTCCGGGTAATGTTCTAAACGGCTGTAAAGATTTTGAAAATATTTTACTACCAAATAGTTGTCTATATAAGGAGTAACTTAGGCTATTTTCCCTCTCAGAGAATATTTACCTATTTATCTATTTACCCTATAAAATTTTGCCCTGTTGTATATTTTATCATCGGCGGGTAATCAGCATTGTCTTTAATATCAGTATGAGTATCCTCAACAAACTATGCTTAGTAAAATACTGACATTCAAGTCACTACGCAAGTGTTAATCGCTGATAGTGTAGCTTTTCATTGGTGAAAGAATTTTTAAAATCGGTTGAGTGGTTTAGGCGGCAAGATTAACAAACAAACAAACTGACTTTCACTTTGTAATATAAGAATGGAAGTATCTATTAAGTCAAATTTGCTTATAATTATATACTAGGATATAGTTTATTTGAGTAACTTATCCATTTCAATATCCGCTGATATTGATCTGAAAAAAATGATACCTACAGTAAAAACCTGACTCAGCAACAACTCTGGTTTGTTAGTAGGCGTGCTTACATTAATGTAGTAAAATAATAATGATTTTAGTTCAAAAACATTTCAGCATAACATATAAAAGTTTTTCTCCGTCATAGTTAGAACTGACCGACCTGTTGGTGTACTGATCAGCGATCTTGACTTCCGAGTATGACTGAGCCGGAGTTCGTGGATCCCATTCCCATCCAGGCCAAACATTTGTGTGATGACCACGATTATTGTTACTCTAGTTGGATGTAATCTGTCCATAATATGTGTCATCAGAACTTTGCTTATCATAGCATAGGCTGTTTCTTGTTATACCTAGATCAGGCGATAGTATCATATGTATAAAATTGTTTTTATTTTATAAAATTTTCCTACATAGTATTTAAGTATTATTTCATGTCCTACTTAATTAGCACTACTACTTTTTAGATTTTTTTAGGCATTTACAAACTCTTTTTTCAGTTGAGTTCTTGGATTAGATTCTTGGGTTAAACACACACTTTACAATCTTGGTTGTCTTAAAAATTAAAGCCGGATCAAGTGGGATTTATTTTATATATATATATAATATATTCAATCATAAAATGGTTAAACCTACAAGAGAGTGACAGTATACGTAAAATGCAGTGTACATAAAAATGGCTATTTATTTTTGCTGGCATATTACCTATTTACAGGATGACATTTTACTAGAAACGGGTTCTAAAAATATCAATTCTCATTTTTGATGTCTGTTATTGTTATTTTTTAAATTTATGGTAGACGATATCTGCCGGGTCTGCTAGTTACGTACACAGCAGTAGTAGATATGTATACTGTCTATACAAATTTAAAAAGCCATAAGTGATTACTATTTGTTTTAGAAGCAAAGACAATCGAGAATTTTTCGATTCGAACCAGAAGTTCCTGAGATTAGCGCGTTCAACTAAACAAACAAACTTCTCAGCATTATTATAAATTTCCATTTCTTTGTTTATATTAACAAAAACACAAAAATATCAAGAATAGCCAATGGTGTTTATAGCTAAAATGTGTCCGTGTCCTAATAAAACATTCTTGTCATTTCAAGGGCAGTTTCCTGATGCTCCTTGAGTCACTCAAATAATGACTTCTTGAAGAGTCAGCTGTCTTCATCTTCAAACACATTTACTATTTATCGAAAAGTCCGTCAAGTCGGGTTTGAATTCCTTTCACTAAGAATGCTAACAAAAATTTAGGATAGTTTATCCGTTTGACTGATAAATAATGATGTTTTTAATACGGGGATATCAAGGCACAGTTGATTTGGAAGTGAAGTGTATAAAATTAAATTAATAGAATAATCGTTATTCTATATATATATAAATACTCATTTATAGCAAAGCATGGTGTTTTAACACTGCATGTTTTACTTGTTTTACTAGATTTTGCCCACGGCTCCGCCCGCGTGTATGTCGGTTATCGCGATAAAAGTACCCTATGTCTAAAAATAGCCTGATAATGGGAGTTTCTAATTTTTTAAATCGGTTTAGTGGTTTAGGCTGAAAGTGTAACAAACAATCAAAATCTCTTTTACATTTATAATACAGTATGGATGGTAGTAGGATATCGGTATGATACAGACATTCTAACTAGCATTATAGGGACTTAAGTGCATTCATTTATAAGTTACGGAATCTACTGCTGAATCAGGTGATAACGTCTGCTCTTTTGCTTCCTTTACCTCCTTTACCATAAAAAAGCGAAACAGACCGAGACACAGGGAACATTTCATGGAGATAAAAAATACTTTTAATGAAGAATAGAAGGAATAACAAGGTAGGTATTAGGTACGCGAACGAAGACGCAGGCTAAAGTTGGCCGCGTTTATATTTGGGTCCGGCTGTCTTAATAACAGCAGTTCCCGGATCCCTCCTATTACAAGCGCAGAGTTGCACACCGTGTGGTTTTAGTTGGTCCATTTCCGACACACCACCCTGCCGCAAACCCTGGTGGAATGAAGGCTCGAGGAGGTTTCCACACGTAAAAAAAATGGCTGCGTTTATATTTGAGCATCGGCAACACGTTAGACCTACCTGCAATGTATGCTTATTTATGCTAATACTCATTTTTGCGTAGGACTTATTTTTGATTTTACGCCGGGTCGTATGTACTTTTAGGTTAAACCCATTATTCGAGTTTCTCTATTTTACAGATATTACCTTATTTTTTTAAAGTAATTTTAGTTTGATATTGAAACAAATACATATGCTTAATCAGCCGTATTTTAAGACTACCATTTTCGTGTTCAGTTTTGTAATTATCAACTTTCGTCTCAGGGAGTTTCTTTTGCAAAGTAAAAGTTTTGCTATTAAAAGCTTTGAAACTCGTGGACAGTTTTTTCACATGCTAAGTCTGTTAATGCTCGAAATGATTTTTATGACATAACATTGAACGTGAATATAAATATATATATTTTATAGAACATTTTCAAAAATACAGCAAAATACCAGAGACAATTAAACTAAATGAACTTGTGTTGACTAAACCTCTAGACCAAAACGCCAGCCGACCTTTTGGTCTAGAGGTCTAGTCTAGTCCAGAGGTAGTGGGTATCGGAACCACCCAGAACAAATATTGTGTGATAGGCACGATAATTGGTTCCGTGTCTGGGTGTAATTTGATCTATAATATGTAGGAAATGTATTTGTATGCTTATTTGTAAATATAAACGCCTGGGTAAATATAAATATCACGCATATTGTATACGTATGTATTATATAATCGAACCGTGTGATGTGTGTGTCCGGATTAAGAATACGGAGTGTCACTACCCCTATTCATCTCGTGGGTGTTGAAAGAAACGAATAACAGAGCAAACTACGCTGAATAACTGCACTGCAAAAGGAAGTAAAACTTGACATAAATCCTATACCAACCCGTCTGGCCAGCATGATATAGTAGCCAAAGCTTGCTAAGGAGGATCCTGTCCAACAGTTTACTATTAAAGGCTGTTGATGATGATGATTATTCGGTAAAACGTATGCGTTTAATTCACCTCTGTCTAGCCGTAAGTGTATGTATTTGTCTGGTCTCAGGCTGAGTTCTAAAGTTAAGCTTTACCATATACCTAAGTGTAGGAGTGTCTTGCAGGAATTAGTTCAAATATTCAAATATTTATTGCTTCTCTTCGAGCCCTCTTAAACTATGTGCATCATTATTTATTTTAATATCTGTGGGGAGTTACTTATGTAGCATTAATTGTACAGCCAAGTGAATTTAAATTACTACGATGAAATGTTCATAAAGACAACGATGAACAAACTATCAGTTTGTTCTCGAAACTCGTCTCTTCGTCTTTAGTACTTTGAATTATTAATTTTAAGATAAATAGTATCGCGTTGTATAAATATTCATAAAGAATATGGATAAAGTATCCACTGAGTAGTTTATAATTAGGTGGATAAACAGAAGAATTATTTATTTTTGATACTACGCGCTATGAAAGAAGTAGATTTTTAGGTTAAGGCAATATCTATTTACCTAGGTCCGTTATAAAGATGGAATTTGTGTAAGACAAGCGTCTGGTTTTATTAAATAGGTACACTTATGAAATAATAACTGTCGTTATTTTACTAACAAAACAATGCTACGCCTATTAAAAAACGAAGTTAGTAATAAATCAAAATGTATTCATTTTCAGACAATAAAAGACAGACAAATTTCAGACTTAAACCCATGCTTTCTAAAAATGGACAATTGGAAATATTGTACCTTCATACAGACCTAGATCCCAGTATAGATGTCGCAGTAATTAGTACTAGTTGAGAGTAGAAATGATTGTAGATGTAAAAAATAATAGGTCGTTACCTATGAAATTGCCGTTTTGTATGCAATAAGTGAAAGTACTTATTTTTTCCAACTTTTTTATTTCTGTTATTCGAAGTAATCACCCATGCAATCGACGCATCTTTGCTAACGCATTGGCAGTTTATTGATGCCCTTCTTGTAAAAATCAGCTGGACGGGAGGCAATAAACTCTTCAAAGGCATTTTGTACTGCCTCTCGGGAATTGAATTTTTTACCCACTAAAAAGTTGTCTGAATTTTGGAAAAAGTAATAGTCGGGAGCTGCAAGGTCTGGTGAGTATGGCGGATGAGGGAGAGCTTCCAACCCCAGCTCTTGCAGCTTGGAGACTGTCTGTTGCGCAGTATAGGGTCGCGCGTTGTCGTGAAGGAGCAGTGGGGACGACCGATTGACCAAAGCTGGTTGCACATGTAATATTTATTATGTGTGATATAGTATAGAATTTGGAGTAAAATATTTTTTGTCTTTTTTGTATTATTATAGATAAAAATGCAGTAACAAGACGATTTATGAATCAAAATAATCGGTATGAACTTCACATCAACAAGCTGAAAGAAGTAAATGGAATAAAAGCCCATAATGTACTTGTAACCAGAACCTCTGAAACAGATGAATCTCTTATATACATCAACAATCCAGTAGAGTGTAGCATACCAAACACTTTCCTAACTCAAGAACAATTTAAAACGCATCTAATTAACAATATTAAAAAACAACAGATAGAATTCGAGCAGCAAAAATTAAAAAAACATTTAAACATGTTTAAGTTTAAACCGAAGAAGAAGGAAAATAAAAAACCTTTTGTTTGGAGTCTTTTAAAAATACCAACAACCAGAAACAAACACCAAAAAGCGAATTTAATTCATGCATCGACTCAAAATGTTGCTGATGAAGACAAAGAAGATTTATCATCAACAACTGTCCTTAGAAAAGAAACCACAGACAGATCCAGAGATTTATTTATTGCAATGTTAAATGGCGAAACTTTAGCTACCGTGAAATCATCAACAAACATTACAGAAACTACATTAAGAAGCATTTCAGAAGATCCCATCACAGATATTCCTGAATCTTTTCGTAGCATTCTTGAAAATTATCTTAATCATACGGATTCACAGACTTCAGGAGAAAATTTTACTTCTGAGCAACAGGAAGTATTAAATGCAACTATAGGTGACAATACAACACCTACAACTGAATATGACAACACTTCTACTGACAACAATAGTTTACCAAATACGATTATTAAATCAGATACTATTGTGACAGAAACATCAAAACTAACAACAACGGGTACAACTAAATCGACTCGTACAACTAGAGGAGTAAGTGATCTTTTTATTAATTGTTTAAATTAATCAATTGTTACGTTTTTAGGAGCGCGGTCACATTTTTGAGTTGATTGACGTCATATAGTCAAATAATAGTCTAGAAAGTATATTTTTAATACATTTAGACCTGTACCAACCCGTCTGGCCAGCGTGGTATAGTAGGCCAAAACCTTCTTTCTAAGGAGAGGCCTATGTCCAGCAGTGGACTATTAAAGGCTGTTGATGTGATGTGTGATGTGTAGACCCACGTTATTTTTATTAGATATATTTAAGATGTTATTTGTGTGTTTATACTTGTTTTTATGTCCGAAACTTTATTATACCACTAATACAGCAAATAAGTATAATAATATAAAAAGTAATGTCTTATTTTCTTTGTGTTTCAGAGACCGTTCGTCTTTATGAACTGATTCCAGAAAGAATACGTTTTTTTTAATTTGTTAAAAGTATTTTACTTATAAATGTATATTATTTAATGAATAGTGGTAAGATAACTAGTATAAAGCTTTTATTTTGATGTGTGATAGCTGACCCTCGCAATTTCTTCAGTGTCTCTCAAAAGGAATAAATTTTCCCCGTTTTTGCAACATGTTTATTGATGCTCGGCTCCTATTGCTCGTAGCGTGATGGTATATAGCCTTCCCCGATAAATGGACTACTAACGCAAAAAGAATTTGTCAATTCGATTAGAGCATTTATTCAAACAAATTTTGCAGCTTTGTAATATTAGTACAGGTTATTTTATTAATTTTGGAATTTAGCAATATCCAAACATTATTTTAATCATAAATTTCTTTCAAATCTTTGTTTTTAATCCTAACTACTAAGAGATACATGTCATGAATGCGGATATGAGTTTGTTTGTTTTTATGTTTGTAACACTTTAACTACTGCACTGATAGTCATGCTTCATATATGTACTTTGTCATTAGGACTGAAAAGGACAAAGCTCCATCAGGAAAAGAGGTAGGTACCTGCCTACCGATCATGAGGCTTAGAAAATGTTTTTTACAAGTGCGAAGCTACGTACAAAGCGTAGTAAGTATATCAAATACTATTGTTTTGTTCAATTTTTTATTAACAATATACTGTCTTACCTTAACTTACTTCTACAAAAAAATCCAAGTTATTGCAATAGCAATAACTAAAACAATCTTCAACTGGCCGCTTCTAACATCACTAATTAATTTTTCTTAAAGTTCACAATATAAGACTGGCCGTATACAGTGATACTTTTGCACGTTCGCGTGATTGTCGACACACAATATTTCCCGCCAAACGAAACGTCAAACTGTCAAACGCGGGACATTGCGCCTCTACTCGTGAAAGGCGCCAATTTACTGATTACAAAATCTCACGTGGACCTCCACTGCTTGGCTATACCTTTATAACTATGAAGGGCCATTGAAACGACTCTATCGCTATAACTCCATGTGAAAAAGAGACAGCTATACGAGGGAGTGTGAACAGCCATTGTAAGCCGCTTACCGCTATTAGGACTGCTCATTTGTCAGAAAGAGACATATAGATTTGTATTGTGTCGGTTTAATACACGCCCCGCCCATTCCCTCATTTAAACCCCCCCCTCCCGTGGAGGGATGAACTTGGGCAGTTTTAAATTATCTAGTATAATAAAATTATTTCGCAAAATAAGGGGTTGGTTACGTTAATGATGTGTTTAATTTATGTCGATTTCTTTATCTCTGAGTGGTGACAGTTTTGATTCTCGTATTACGCAACGGACGTCTTGAGTCAATCATATTAAAACGCTTTATGTTTCATTAAATTTATCGTTTTTCCTTCTTTAGCTTTTCATAATGAGGTTAGTTCGGCATTTAACATATGAAAACTTTTTTATTGCACTTGTAACAGATATTACTCTTATTGCAGGTATAAGTGCTAAAAACCTACCTAAGTACAATGTTTTGTTTTGCACATTTTGTTCCGTAATTAAATCAATATTTAGACAAAAGATTATTTTGAAATGGTCTATGATGTTTGTATTTTCTGTAATGTATACTTTAAAACACATAATTTACATCACTAAAACTAAAGGTAAAATCAGTGCTAACTGTAAAGTAATTTTTTTTTCATAATATTAAGTAAAATTAATAAGTAAAAAATATTTAAAAAAATATTTTCTGTCTCTCTTTCACACACACTCGTCATTTATGGCCCAACAATGCAGAAAAATGCAACTCAAAAAATGGTCTAACCTTAACTGATAAAGTTCAATTTGGCTTGTAAAAGTTAGTGTAAGCTTTTGTCAACATTTGCGGTCGGCTTTCGGTTTATCTCCCCCGCACAAAATTGTTAGTCACACAAACATTATCTTTGACCAATGGCACGTAACCACGGGCCATTTTCAGCCAATCGATGAGCTTAAAATGTTCGATTTCGCGCGTCTCTCAATTAGATTTTTGTTTTGTACAATTTTTTAAATAGAATCGTTACCTTTGTAATATTGAAAAAAGGGTTGTTTTATTTTTTGTGTGAAATTTATTACCTATTTTTAGATGCCTTAAATACCTGTAGAGCATTGTGGGAAAAGAAAGTGCATTAATTTAAAGGAATATTAATAACATTTCATTATAATTGAGTACCTACTTGTTTTTTTGTGGTAACTCTAGAAAACAAATAGTTTTCAGTGTGAGAAATACGTGTCTATGGTGCTAAAAAATTAAATTTCGAGTTAATGTTCAAATAAAAGTTATGTTTTCGTTACCAGGTCTTCTATTTTTCTAGAAATCTTTATAAAAGAAAATTTTCTAATAAATATAAGGCCTCCAGTTTTTTAACCCGGGTTAGATAACTCTTAACTTATACTTAGGTAGGTAGGTACACATTCCTATCTGTCGTCTTCATCATGATCGGTTTTGGCTGGTTTATTTCAAAGCCAGTCTCCTGCTTGACACCAAACCTCCTTGTCTCTGGATAAAGGAAGAAGATAAATTGGAGGCAAGAAGACGGACAAGCGAGGAACCCAGAGGACAACAAGTAGGTATCCCTCCTCTCATCTGAGGATAGCTGTTGCGAGAGTTAGAGTAACAAGGCTAGGCTGAGTCAGCAGTTGTCGAATAGTGTACCATTATAATAATAATAAGAACAATTAATAACAATTTCACACATCTCACACACCGCAGTCTGATCCCAAACCAGGCAGAGCCTGTATTATGGTAACCAGACTGCTGATAAACATACTTATATAATTTTAAATACATACATAATATAGATAAATTACACCCAGACACAGAACAAATGACCGTGCTCATCACACAATATTTATCCTGGGTGGGAATCGAACCCACCCAGGGTCACTAACCACTAGACCAACAGGCCAGTCAGTGTCATTTGTTCCGTGTCTGGGTGTAATTTATCCATTATATGAATGTATTTAGAAGTATATAAGTGTGATTATCAGCAGTCTGGTTACCATAGTACAGGCTCTGCCTAGTTTGTGATGAGACGGCCGTGTGTGAGATGTGTGAACCTATAATTATGTATTACAATTCACTTTTTAAAATAGCAAATCCACATCATGCACCATCATCACCAACATCAAATAGACAGACACAGTAAAGCTACCAATAAAATTTAAAACAAAACCTATGTTCTCTGTAGTACGTTTTCTCTCCAAGTGTCTAGGTATACCTATCTATTTTCTTCGACTGTGGTGCTTTAATATCTGCAAAATCTAAGAATATTAATGTTTTTACATGCAAATGAACCAATCAACTCTGTGTTCTAAGTTAGATACCTACCTGTAAATATACTTATCTATGAAAACCTTTTAAAGTCCAATCCAAAATATGGAACCAAGCGGAATATAAGTTCTTATCTAAGTAAGTAGGTAGGTAGGTAGGTAGGTACTTGTTAGGTGTCGGGGTACCAGGTATATCCTTTCTAGGGTACACCTGGTTCCCCGGCAACAAGTACGCGAGACCGCGTGTAGTTTTTGGATGGTTCGAGTCCGACATAACTACCCCACCAGTGGGGTACTTGTTAGGCACCTCAAACCCCAAAGATTTAAACGCTGTTGGTTGAAAAATCATCTTTATAGAATGACTAGTAGAGTTAATATCTCAATAAAGGACCGTGTGGAATATTTGGATCAATACAGTCATCCTAAACTAAGTTAGGTAAATAAATATAGCTCCATTGGTCAAGTTCAAAATTGTTTGATGGTCTTATCCAAGACGGCGTAGAGTACTCGCCAAGCACTGTGTAATTCTGCATACCATTCCCTTGTTGATGTCTAGAATACATCTGAAGGCCAATTCTCGTAATAAAAGTTCGGTCAAAATTCAGTTCCGATCAACACTCGATCTTTTAGCCGTCGTTAAAAGTATTTTCCTAGTAAAGTATTAAACAACAACATTGACTGTAATGTGATTATATCGTATTGTAGCTGAAAATTGAATCGGTAATCTGCTAGTCTTAGCAATACTTTACTATTTTACTAAGAAAATTCCCTATATGACAGTTGCGAGATCAAGAGTTGATCGAAACTGAATTATGATCGAACTTTTATTACGACAATTTACTTTCTGATTAATAGCGATTAATACATAGCTATGGATCGTAGCTTAATCCATTTAATTTATATGGACTGCACGGATGGCGTAGTGTTTTAAGCGGTCACCTCGCCTCCTCCTACTGTGCTAAGTGTTGTGGGTTCGATCTCCACATGGGACAACACTTTGTGTGATCGACAAATCGTTTTTCTGAGTCTGGGTGTTCTTTGTGTCCTTTTCATATATGTTTGTCAAGTCCACCGCGACGTTCTCCTAGTGCGGGAGTTGAAAAAAAGAAAAGAAATACTTGATAACCACTACCACTTTCTAAAAAATTTCGACTGCACCTAACTGTTGATAGAAAACAAATATAGTTTAATTTTAAAATTATCTGTTTAAACAATTATAATTTTATCTACATAACACGAGTGAGAGGTCCGACGGGTCTTGACGCTGTTTAATGTATAACAATATATTCCACTTCCCGCTGTTTCAATTAATAAAAATTAAAAAAATATTCAATAACGCAAAATTTGAAACACCCCTGACACCAGCATCAACTCAAGGTTTGGTTGCAGCATCAGGTTATCATGTCATGGAAATAATACTAAAGTTACAGTACACCAAATTACAAATCGATCGGAGTTATGTAAGTTAGTAAGATCCCTTTATGAACTAAGAAATCGATTCGATTATTGATTAAAAAGATAAAAGAACTGCATCATAATCGGTCCATTCTTTTGGAGCTACGACACATTTTCACACACAGTTACACAGACACGACAAACTTACCTAGGTATACCTTTTTCCGTCGGGGGTTAAAAATGGCCTATAAAACTCGGCTGTAATATAACTTTCAATTAACAAAAACATTTTCATATCGGGATCAGTAGTTT